ACTTTGGAGTACCTCAAGGTAGTGTTTTGGGGCCTACATTGTTCATAATTTATATGAATGACCTCTTAGAACTGACCATCCCAAACGCCGAAGTTATTTGCTATGCCGATGACACTGTAATACTGTTCCGCGGCACTTCATGGGAAGAAACATATCGACTACGGAAATATGAATTAGCGTAAGGGACATTTTGGCGATTTTGAGTTATATATATCATTGGATTCAGAATTTCGAGCTCTATCGAATGGTATATATAACTTTTTGATATCTTGAAAAAAATGTCGCTTACCTTAAAAAAAAAGTAAGCAAAAGTTTAAAAATCGGGAGTAAAAAGTACTGTTAAGGACATAAAAAATGGTGTACGTCCCATACGTTAAATTTTTCATCATATCGGCCAATTTATGTTCCTTACACTATTACAAATACAAGTTTTTATGTCCGATAATGCATCTTACATTAATTTCCAAAATAAACATTGGCCCTTACGCAGGCAAACAAACTTTAATAATGAGGTAGGAAACCAAAATAACATTACACTATTATCTTACACTGCCCGCAAATCCAATTCCTCTCATAATTTTTTTTATGATACTTCAGAATATCTGTGTGAGCACTTATTTTGTATAATATTTAAATCGACCAAGAAAATAGAAATTAATGTAAGGGACAAAGTAACAATGTTTTTTGGAAAGAAGTTAAAGTAACGTACATGACATTATCAAATGTTTTGAAAAATGTTAATGTAACGTACATTTCTTGACAAAAAATGAGGTAAAATTGCAGCAAAAGACATAGTTTTTTCAAAGTTTTGAGGCTATTTAATGATTAAAATATACTTGTACTTTATTTTACTTATTTTTTTCAATGCAAATTTATAAAGACACGCGTCATGTCAATTAAATAAACATAAACAACAAAATGAATGGTTTAGTAACACAAAACCATACTATCTCATTTTATTGCATTCATTCTAAATTTTAAATTTTCATTGATTTTGTATGGAATTTCATACAAAATCAATAAAAATTTAAAATTTCTGACTGTTACTATAATGTCACAAATTAAATATTGTCCGCCAGAAGAAAACGCACAAATCTTCACGCCGCTTACAGGCAAACCGCAACAATTTAGAGTAGTATCAGAATTTAGTGTTCGATGACCATTGCAAAATTGCTTGTTGAATACGGTGTCACTATGTTTGGGTGACTAAAAATATGTTCATATTGTGATATTAATATTTTTAAATATTAAGTATTATAATTGAAAAGTATGTTAATAAGAATACAATATAGCGCAAAATACAAAGATATAGTTTTTTTAGAATTTGTCGTTTTGTTCGCCAAAATGTTTTTTTTTTATTACATAACATTATAAATTATTAGACTACTTTAAAAATTAATACATAAATTGGCGTGATGAGAAGCTGAAATAGTATACTCAACTCATTATATTATGACACGATCGAGCAAATCGGGGATCATAGCAAGGTACTGAAAATGAGTCATCTAAATTCTTCAAATGGTAAAACCGTCACCTCAGGTCGAGAGATTCTTGCTGTAGTCGAGGATTTCTATGAAAGTCTCATGCGTCGCATGCACCCAGACCTCTATCTGACGAGAGAGACTCTTGTTCTCTTCCACCACCTTACTCTTAGACAGCTTAAGAATACAAAGGCTTCAGGGAAGAGTGGGCCCTATGCTGCTTAAGGCTGGTGTCATGAAGTGGCTGTTCAACTCGGTAATAACTAGTGGCAAAACCTCAGAGGCGTGGTTACTCCACTCCACGAAAAGAGACGAAACGTTTCTCAGTAAGAAACGTTTCCGAGAAACTACTTCGATTTTACTTCTGGACCACGTCTATAAGCTGTTCTCGAGAGTAGTCACCAATCTTTTTCATAAAAAATTACGCCTTCATGTTTTGTGCATCCATTGTTTTTATTAACTTACTATAATTTTGTTTGATTAACAAAAATTTCAAAGTAGTTTAAATTTTGAAGATGTATTTTACTGTCAAAGAATAAATAAAAAGTTCCTGTTTGTTTTCTTTTTGCTAAAAACGTTACTTTTATCGTTTTAAAAGTTTTCTAACGCTTTTTATTCTTATGTTTCTCACAATAAAGTATTGATTATGAAATTGAACCACATTAGAATATGTTTATGTTGTTTGTTATACTGCATCGTGTCAGAGACGCATTTTTAAGTGTATTTCATTTGAAAACAATTGGTTATAATAAAGTTTTGTGGCAAACTTATCATGAAAACCTATAGACGCGGTGTCCTTCACTGCAAATTTACCTCGTGTTCGATGATGAAATGTACGTTACATTAATTTTTTTCAAAATTTTCGTAGGTTTTTGCAGGAAAAATTAACGTAAGGGACATGCCAATTCCTAAACTACAGGGATATTCCAGATGATGATAGATTTAGCATAAAGAACTCAAAATTCTAAGGAATTTTGCCATAGAAGTCATTTGGATCGGACAAGAAACAAAAAAGATAAAAAGAATTTTAAAAAATTGCAATCGTTTTTTGGCTCTCCTGAAAAATTGCATTTTGTCCCTTACGCTAATTCATATTTCCGTAGTCGATATGTGACGGCTGAAACTGGCTTAGCTCTTGTTTCAAATTGGTTGGACAGGAACTTACTAACTCTGAATGTTTCTAAAACCAAGTTTCTTGCGTTTCACAAAACCAAAGCGTCTCAGCCTCCATTCCATAGACCGTTAAAGCTACATTCAAGTTCGTGTGTTTCTTCACTTGCACAGTCGTCTCCAGACTTCAACCCTACATGCAGCTGCCAAATCATAGCTCAAACCAAGGTCATCAAATATCTAGGTGTTATGGTAGATGAAAAACTATCTTTCGGGGCACATATCTCGTCTCTAACATCTCGGACTAGGAAAATAATATACATAATGAAATCTCTTAGACATTCTGCCTCGAAAGACACTTTAATAATGGTGTATAAAGCTTTATCGCAATCTCTGATTCTGTATTGCATAAGAGTTTGGGGAGGTGCGGCCTCGACAATAATGATTGGCCTTGAGCGCGCTCAGAGAGCGGTACTCAAGGTCATGATGCGTAAGCAATTTAGATACTCTACAGATTTACTTTATAGAGAATGCAAGGTTCTGAGGGTACGTCAGTTATATATGTTGCGGATTGTGGTTGCTCAACATAGGACTACCCAACGTTCCCCCGAATACGAGACTCTTCTCAAACGTAGAGTATTTAAAATTCAGGTTCCCCGAGTCCGTACAACTTTTGCCCAACGTCTCCCTTTCTATCTTTTCCCCTATTTATATAATAGGATTTGTCGCGTCCTAACCATTAAAAACCTATCTTGCCGGGAAGCGAAATACAAGATTGAAAATTGGCTATTAAATTTAACGCACGACGAAACCGAAGCATTAATGCCCACGGCACAGTAAGTAACACATACACCGATTCACACTCACACACACACACACACACACACACACACACACACACACACACACACACACACACACACACACACACACATACACACACATATATTTCTTAAATGGGTCCCACTTTTTGTCTGTTTCTTATTCTTTTTTTTGTTTGTGATTTTTATTATTTATACGTATTAATTATGTTTGTCATTTTTACTTATATAAAACTTAAAAGTCCACGTCCGAACCTTAAATTAATGTTATAGAAATCCAATTTCGGGCCCCTGCGATACAGGCTTTGCTTAGTGCAGGGTCCGCTGCTTATTTGTGTACCTGTTCTATGTTATTTAAGCGTTGTTTTAATTTGTAATAGGGACAAATATTTGTAAACTTTGTTTGGAAATAAAAATTATTACTATTACTATGTTTCTTGGGGAAAGTTGTTCAGTTTTATGGGCTGGTTTACCCCTTAAAATATTTGCAGTTGATTTTTTTTACACTTCATTTATAATTTTATCAATTTGTTCCCAGTCTGGTTAGGACATTGCAGGCTGGACCACCTGATTGTCCGAAAGTAAGATGTTAAAAGAGAAATTCGTTTTCATGGGCTACAGCCCAAACGGCTGGGCGGATCTTGGCATGTGAGATGTCGTTAAATTCGTTGTAAATATTCTAAATTCAAGATGGAAGATCTTTATTGCAAAATCGCAAAAAATGCAGTCGGGTTTTTGTTTTTTAATACATCTGCTTATTTTTGTAACGTTTCTGTGGCCTAAAGTATATTTCTATTCTATCTTACTATCAAAAGTTTTTCAGTAATCACCCGGCCTTTTTAGGGTTTCGTAGTCTACTAGAAACCCTTATAGTTTCGTCATGTCTGTCTGTCTGTCTGTCTGTCTGTCTGTCTGTATGCCGCGCCCTCATAACTCCATCAGTTTTGGAGCTATCGACATCAAATTTGGTATGAAGATAGATCGTGTTGACCCGAACTTAAGAAATGTTGAGAAAAAAATATTTTAATTGTTTTTTGGACCCCCTTCCCATACATGTGAAAGGGGGGCAAAAAATTTTTTACTCCTTTAATATTGAGTAGGGTATCGTTGAATACGTCTTCAAAAACTAAGGGGAGGGTTCTTTGAAACAAAGTCTCTAAAATGTTTTTGTCTCGAGATATTTGCTTTAAAAAGGGGCGTTTTTGTGCCATAATTTGTTCCAGCTGTAACTTCTAAAGTACGCATGCTAAAAATTTGAAAAAAATATGGAATATAGTTCTTATTATAAAGTTACCATGAAAACTATAACGAATACTGTGCCAATTAAGATTAAGAAAATATTAAATTCTTTCAATTTGCGGTTGGTCACCATACAGCTGCAAACAAACCAGCAACAAAATTAACTTTGTAACGCCGAAAGACCTGATATTTAAACAATGACTACGAAACCCTATTTTTAAGCGTGTCTGACACGCTCTTGGCCGCTTTTTCTAAAACAAACCATACCTGCTCGAATTAGCGTTTCTTTTATATGGCCGATAATGATATTTGTTGTGTATTGGTTAAAAAATTCGTTACGGTCAGCCAGGCGCCGGTAGCTCAGTTGTCAGAGCAGTGGGACGTTACCCCACGGTCCCGGATTCAAGTCCCGGCTGTTGCTAACGAATTATTCAATATTTCTTATTTTTATTTATATTTTGATTTTCTTCCAGAACTATAGTCTTCTTCAAATCGCCATTTTATGATTCAAAGAGTGAAAATCAATCAGTAGCTCAAAATGAACAAGCAAATTACAAGGCAGACGGAATGGCGAGCGCAATGAATATTCCTGTCAAAAGTGTCATGAACGACGGACCAACTGCTGAAAAACTGAATAATTCTGACAAAAAGCATAATTCTGATGAAAGAAATGATGGGAGAGTTCCGTCTAAAACTGATGTTTCATCTAACAGTAAAAGTGTGGGGTACGTACTTTTATTATACTAGGTGTTACAAAACAACCAATAAAGCTGAAAGGAGGTCAAATACTCATGAAACTGAAAAACTTTCCCCATGGAACATGGGTCGAAATATGAAAAAAAATTTGGACTTCCCATGCAAAAAGGAGATTTATTGGTTGTTTTGTAACACGTTGTATAACGTGAAATTTTACTAGTGACTGATAGCGAAAATTCAGAACCGGGAAGTGATAAGGAACAACTTTCCCTAAGAAACATAGGTTGAAATACGAAAAACAAATGTTTACCTCCCATAGTAACACAAATCAGCTGATCGTCAATTTTGTATGGGAAGTCCAAAAATTTTTTTCGTTTTTCGACCTATGTTCCTTGCGGAAAGTTGTTCCTTGTCATCAGCCGGTTCTGAGTTTTCGCTATCGGTCACTATAGTCCGACAGCTTCGTGCGCGACCCTCCCTAGGGGTGACAGACGTTGGGAGGGGAGATGTCAGCGGGTAGCGGGAGGTGTAGCGGGGAAGAGAGACGCGCGCACCCGCGCCGCACGTCATATTAAAATGACGTGCTTCCTCGCTCCCCCACCGTCTATACCCCGCAGGAGGGTCGCGCACGAAGTTGTCGGACTATAGTAAAATTTCACGCTATATATATATTGGGTCTAAAGAACGGTGCATCAAAAACTTTGTTGGAGTGATCTTGAAACTGAATATTATGGAACCTGGCAAAATGTGAAATAAAATCTACCTCCTATAAGAAATTCACGATATTCCGATTTCTTTTTCCCGTTAGCAACCAACATAAATTTTTCCTAGAGAAAGTACTTCAGTTTCATGGTCTGAGCATGCCTGCAAAGTTTTCGGTACACCGGCATTGGAAATTTACCTACAGTACGCGAATGAGTTCTTGGCCATCGGGGAATGAGGAGGCGCGCGGGGACGGCGCGCACCGCGGTTACCCAACTACTCGCATTCGCCCGCAGTCGAATGATGGGAAAAAAGTGTGTCACAAAGTTGTCGATATTTTGTCGTTGTGTTGTGTTTTGTGTAGAAACCATAAATACTTCTTTAATATTATTCACAAACAGTGAAGTTACAGTTCGAACAAACTATGGCTAAAAAGGCCCCTTTATTAAGCAAATGTCTCGAGGCATATACATTTTAGTTACTTTGTTTTAATGAAACCTGCCCTTAGTTTATAAAGACCTATTCAACGATACCCTACCTACTCAATATTGTAGGAAAAACAAACTAATAACTATGAGTAGTCTGAACTGAACAGTTCGGCAACAATTCTCGATATCCACATCAACATGAATTAGTCACAGCACTACCGCATTCCTCAACATGGTCATGAACTCATTCGCGTACTGTAGGTACTTAGTTATTTTGCTACAGTTTATCCTTAGTTACTTTTTTATTTTATTTGTATAATTTTTCTAATTTCGTTTTTTTTTTCTTTATACAGAAAACCTCAAACGATAGCCTTCCTAAAAGCCTGGTCTTATTTCAATTCTAAAATCGATGACAAAGCAGAGACCCCGCAAAATAAGTCGAAAGGGTCAAATGTTACACAAAAGGGGTCGAAAGTTGATACTAAAAATGCATTAAATGTTACACAAACGTGGCTAAACGGGTCAAAATTGACAAACGCAACCCAAACTGGGTCAAAAGAGTCAGAAGTGAACCAATCTGGGTCAAATGTCAACCGAATTGGCATAAATGTTACCGAAACTTGGTCAAAAGGGCCATATGTCGGCGAAGCTGGGTCAAAAGAGTCAGATATGACTCAAACGGGGTCAAATTCAGATATGAACCGGTTTGAACCGCCACCTGCATCTCGTAAAGGAAGACTTCTGCAAGCACTGACCACGCCCTTGGAAAGCGATCGCGCTGAAAGGTTGTTATTATTTTTTATTTTATGTCTTTATTTTTAAATATGATTTAACGCCTGTTTTATTTTCTTGGTCATATTTTTTACTAGCTGCCCGTCAGCGGTTTCACCCGCTGCAACTTATTATTCCGCGGGAAAAAAGCATTATTCGCCAAGAGATGTCGCTGTTAGTTTTCGGCGAAAACGTTTAAAACGCGAATCGGCTCAGTCACGCCACCTATTTCAAAAATATTGGAAAATGCGTGATCCCGTGGGAATGAGACATTTTTCCGTGGTAAAAAGTATCCTATGTGTTATTCCAGATGCCCTTTTATATTTCTGCAAAGTTTCATGTCAATCTAATCAGCCGTTTTTGCGTGATGTCGTAACAAACACACACACAAACATCCGCCTTTATAATATTAGTAGGATGTGTTACGTCAGATTTTTATTTTCCATAATTAAAAGTAAAAACTAAACCAGTTCAAAACTGAATAACTTCCCAACAGACAAGTATTTTGGGAAAGTTGTTTAGTGTTATGGGCTGGTGGACCTTAGCAAAAAACCTGTATACATACCATGACGTATGTACGATGGATGTATGTCTGCATGTAAATAAATCAACTGCAAATAATTATTTCAAGGGGTGAACTAGTTCATGAAACGGAACAATTATTCCCAAGAAACAGGTTGAAATGTGAGAAAATTGTTCGACCTTCCATACAAAAGGACTCGACCGACTAGTACATTTTGTAGGAGAGGTCCAATTTATTTTTCATATTTTGACCTATGTACCTTGGGAAAATTGCTCAGTTTTATGGACTAGTTCACCCTTTAAAATATTTGCAGTTGTTTTTTTTACACGTTATCGTGTGTGCTTTTGACAGGATGATGCGTATGATGGGGTGGGAAGGCGGAGCCCTAGGCCTCCGCGGCGAGGGCATCACTGAGCCTGTAATGCCTGCTATACACATTGTAAGTATTTCTCATTCTATCTCGATAATAAGTATTTTAGAGTCTGGCCAGCGAGTCTTTGGACACGGAAATGGCGTCAATTTTAAAAATCTTTCGCATGTCAACACTGAAAAACTACAATAAATCAATTTTGATACTTACTATTTTTTTGTTTTCTGCTCTTCAGTTTGTGTTTACCTTGCCTATCGGTATGTATGTATGATGTATCTACCGGGAGTAACAGAAAGGGTATAACAAGCCGAAAGGAGGTCAAGGTACTCATGAAACTGAACAACTTTCCCCATGAAACATGGGTCGATATATGAAAAAAATATTTGGACCTCCCATATAAAATCGCAGATCAGCTGATTGATTTACTCTGAGAGGTCCAAATTTATTTTTCATATTTCGTCAGTTTCATGAGTACCTTGACCTCCTTTCGGCTTCTTATACCCTTTCTGTTACTCCCGGTAGATACATCATACATACATACCGGTAGGCAAGGTAAACACACACTAAAGAGCAGAAAACAAAAAAAATAGTAAGTATCAAAATTGTTTTATTGTAGTTTTTCAGTGTTAACATGTTGCCATTTGAAATATTTGAATTATTTGACGTCCAAAGACTCGCTAGCCAGACTCTAGTAAACATGTCAAGTACAAATTGAGCAACTTTTGCTAGTTTTTTTTTTTTCGAAATATGAAAAAAAAATTTGACCTCCCATGCACAAATCTTGAAAAAGTGGGAGGTCCACATTTCTTTTTCATATTTCAAAGATAAGTTTCTAACAAAAGTTGTTCAGTTTTGTGAGTAAATCACACCCTTATGAGATTTATACTTAATGAAATGTAATGTAACCTTAGATATTATTACTTATATGATGAGGTATTGTTATATGATGAGCCTTAGATATTGTTATATGATAAACCTTAGATATTGTTATATGATGAACTTTCGATATTGTTATATGATGAGCCTTAGATATTGTTATATGATAAACCTTAGATATTGTTATATGATAAACCTTAGATATTGTTATATGATGAGCCTTAGATATTGTTATATGATAAACCTTAGATATTGTTATATGATGAACTTTCGATATTGTTATATGATGAGCCTTAGATATTGTTATATGATAAACCTTAGATATTGTTATATGATGAACTTTAGATATTGTTATATGATGAGCCTTAGATATTGTTATATGATGAGCCTTAGGTATTGTTATATCGTGACCCTTAGGTATTGTTATATCGTGACCCTTAGATATTGTTATATGATGAGCCTTAGACATTGTTATATGATGAACATTAGATATTGTTATATGATGAGCCTTAGGTATTGTTATATGATGAGCCTTAGGTATTGTTATATGATGAGCCTTAGATATTGTTATATGATGAGCCTTAGATATTGTTATATGATGAACCTTAGATATTGTTATATGATGAGCCTTAGGTATTGTTATATGATGAGCCTTAGATATTGTTATATGATGAGCCTTAGATATTGTTATATGAAGAACTTTAGATATTGTTATATGATGAGCCTTAGGTATTGTTATATGATGAGCCTTAGGTATTGTTATATGATGAGCCTTAGATATTGTTATATGATGAGCCTTAGATATTGTTATATGAAGAACTTTAGATATTGTTATATGATGTACTTTAGATATTGTTATATGATGTACTTTAGATATTGTTATATGATGAGCCTTAGGTATTGTTATATGATGAGCCTTAGATATTGTTATATGATGAGCCTTAGATATTGTTATATGGTGAGCCTTAGATATTGTTATATGATGAGCCTTAGGTATTGTTATATGATGAACTTTAGATATTGTGATATGATTAGCCTTAGATATTGTTATATGA